AAGTTCCAGAAAAACATAGCTGGTTTTTTTTTTTTGAAAAGCAGAGATTTCCTCCTCATTATTCCTTCCAAAATGGATCAAGTTTGAATCTAAGACATGTTAATATATCATAGTTTTTCCTGATAATTTGTATATATGGATATATCTTCCATAATTCCTAGCCAGTCAGGTGAGAGTTCTGGGAGGTGTAGCTCAACATATCTGACAGTCATAACGATAGCCCAGCATGTTCACAAACAAAGTCTAACTTTCACAAGGTTGATAATGTGCAATCATTAGCTATCATCAAGCAGACAAAAGGAAACACATTATGTGGACATACTTGCTTTGTAATTCCCTTACAGCTTCTATTCAATTTGGTTAGGCAAGTCAGGCCCTGACAACAGTGCAGGCAGACAAGTTGTGTAGGCATGCATGAAGGATTACATATGAATAGGCTGACAGAATAAAGAGAAGTTATTTTTGAAAAGGAAATGCATGCTTGTCAGTACAAGTTATGACAGTCTGTCTTTGGATTAAAGGCTGTTAGTCTAAGTAGAGTTTATTCATTCAGAATCATTCCACCAGGTGGCACTGTATAAATACAGTGATGTCAGAGGCTTAAGGTTCCTTCTGTACCATCACTATCATCAAAGCAGGTCTTGTGTTATTACTTTTCTCATCTGTATATTTTTCATATCAACTAAAAAACTGCTTCATTTGTATTTGAAAAGAGAAAAGAAAAGCTTGTTAATCTGAATATTGACCACCTCCAGTATTAGTGTATACATTCCCTAGGCAGCTGTGAAAAAGAATTTGGATCCATCAATCTTGGGAGATGAGACATCTTAACTGTCCTTCAAGCTTTATGAGGAGCTTATCCTTAGCTTTGACTAAATATATGCTTTGTTGGGAAGAATTCACCATAATATGTGCTGGGTTTCACCAGACAGAAATGTTCATTTGTTTCTACATACGAAGACTCCTTGCCTTCAGGGCTATGGGAAAATAATTAACATTTAAAGATCTCTTATTATCCAGGGATATTTTGCTAGACATGGGTAAAAAAGCTCATAATCTCAGTAAAGTACACATTTTATACCAATTAGAATTTATTTCTGTAAATATTGTCCAGTGTTATCTTCTGTTATACCTGTAGTATGCAACAATAAATGCAATTTAAAAAATAAATCATAAATATTAGTGAAAGTAAACTATCAAATTTAGGATACATGTAAAAAAGGTCCAGAACTTTAATTGTATTTTTGATCTTGGCTTTTTAATCTCCTCATTGCAGATGCCCCCTACTTTAGATACGTTAGACTTATGGATTTAAGCCTTAAAAGTGTAGTATCTACATTTATTAAAGACATCTTACAACAACTCTTATTCATGCTTATTTAGGAGTATCATTGAATTTCGTGTTCTTGGTCAAGTCTAGTACATTTAAATTTTATCTGGAATATATGCACTGTGAGGATAAAAAGTACACCAAAATAGTGTTGAGTTTCTTGAAGCATTTAGATCAGGGATGTCAAACTGGCGGCCCGTGGGCTGCATGCATCATGCACAGACCAAGCCCACCTGGCTCCGCAAAGACAAAAAAAGTCACAATGTGTCATGATAAGTCATGTGACATCAAGTCTGACACCCATGATTTAGATTTTAAGCTATTTTCCTACATAATGTACCACAATAAACATAAATGCAGATTTCTCTCATCTTGAAAGAGAATCAGGACTCCACTTGTAATTTCAAATTTAATGGAATTTAATTTTGAATAGGCTAAAAGTCTATAACCCTATGTATTTATTACTTTAATGCAGGGCTTTTTTTGTCATAGAAAGCACCAGAACTGAGTTCTGGCACCTTTTTTTGACAGATTTTCCAGAATTGTGTTCTTTTTCTATTGTTGCCCTTCCTACCCTTCTTTGCTTTTGAAAATGCCCTGCTGGTGGTACAGTGTGAGCGGGATCCCCTCTGGCGCTGTCTCTGTCCTCTAGGAGGAGCCATGAGGCACCGGAGCACCACAGCCAGAGCATGGCTTGATTGGCTGGATCGGACCATGTGGTGTGGAAGCTGATGGTGGCGTGGGAGACACATAAACATGGAGGCTGTTTTTCATGAGAGGCTGAGTGAGCCTTTTGCCTTCCCTTACATAAAGTGGGGTGAGGTTAAAAAGAGGCAAATCGAGAGGAAAGAATGGCGGCTGGCATGGAAGCTTGCCCGACAGTGAAATGTTGCTGTTTCGGTTCTTTGGGCAGTTCAAAGGCTGGGATGTCTATGAAAATCTCTTTTTAGTCTTTTATACTTTATATTCAAACTGTAGAGGGGAAGAATAAGAATAAAGCCAATGTCTTGTGATTTGGAGGTATTATTATTAATATATATTAATTATGTATTAGATGTAAAGGTAGACCTACAGTATGAGGTTTAATCAGATCTATTTATTAAATTGGGTTTAACATAAAGGTAAATTAAAAGTAATCTGTTCACTGACAAAGTTTCAACTTTAATTTGTTTCAAGTCAATATCCATATTAAACTCCAAATGTAAATTTTTCCACCTTGTTTGATACCTTCTTAAAACTAATTAAATCTTTTACAAGCAACCAAATTTTGTTTTATTGGGCTAATTTTATTCCACATAGAAAGCTGACATTTCCACTCATTAAACTAAATGGGTATGCCAGTGGTAAATGTCCCAAAAGATTAATAAAATGCCTTCTTGTAATTTAAAGCCACACAGTGCATGGTAACATTAATTGCCCCATTTTATGATTTTTCTAGCCACATTTCTTAAGCAAATCACTGCAGTTGTTAAATTAGTAACATGGTTGTTAAGTGAATCTGATTTCCCCATTGACTTTATCACCTTGCAAAAGGGGATCACACGACCCCAAGACACTGCAACCGTCATAAATGTGAGTCAGTTGTCAAGCATCTGAATGTAAATCACATGACCATGAGGATGCTGCAATGGTCATAGGTGTGAAAAATGGTCTTAAGTCACTTTTTTCAGTGCCGCTGTAACTTCAAACGATCATTAACTGTACTGTTGTAAATCGAGGACTACCTGTACCCATACTTCAAGCATTCCCTTCCTGGCCTCGAGCTGCGTCATGCCAACATTTAGGGCAATAGATCGGTGTAGCCGAGAGGTGATCCTCTGCTTTCCTGAACAAAGAAGTCAACCTCATAGGAAGATGGAAAAGTCAGGCGAACAAGGATTTCCTCCAAAAGGCGCAGCCAGCCACCTCATCGGCTGCGAGCGAGACTGCCAGGATGGCAAAGCAACCGCTTGGCGACGCTTTGGTGCGCTCAGCCCGGATGTGAGGTGTTCCTGACTCAGCTTCGGTCACCAATTGCAGCTTCATCGCCGAAAGCGACCTCGGGGCTTCAGGCAAGAAGGCGCTGTAAAGATCAAGCCACCTCATTCGAGCCAGGCAGCCCTTTCGCAAGCTCAAGTCCAGCGCCGCAGATCAGCAGACGAGAGCCTTGCGGGGGGGGGGGGGGAGAGAGAGAGAGAGAGAGAGAGAGAGAGAGAGAGAGAGAGAGAGAGAGAGAGAGACGAAACGCAAGGCGACACTGCGAGGAAAGACCGGTGCTCTCGCCTTATTATAGTTTGATTTCAGAGGAATGAAAGCACAAGACTCGATAGTTGAAAGAACGGATGTCGACACAGTTTTAGGTCTCTTCTGAAATGCGGAGGAAGGCTGGGGTCACACAACGTCATTCTCACTATAGTATGCCTCCTCGGAATTCCGTTCAGTGTTGCGGATCAGCTGAGTGATTCCGTCATTAATGATGACACGGCAGATCTGCAAAAACCTCTCAGAAACACCTGAGAGGGAGGCGTATTTATTCCTTGGGCCCGATAATGGCTTTCGGTCCAGATAATATGCAAAAGAGACGGGAGAAGTTTAAAAAAAAGTTCACCCAGTAGTGCAACTGCAGAAGATTAGTGCCTTAGGACGATCCTACGGGGGCTGGACTAGAAGACCTCCAAGGTCCCTTCCTGCTTTATTCTATTCTATTCCTACCCGCCCGGTTTGCCATACTGTATTTAAGTACATGAACTGGCGCGCTGCTAAGTTATTTAAAGAAAACGACGAGGCTTTGGTAGCAACGTGGTCGTTGACTTATTACCTTTGTATACTGAGGACCGGAATTCAAGCATAAACACGATTCCTCCCGGGGCTCCAATTCCCCCCTCCCTTCCGGAAGGGAACCCACGTGGTCTCTGAAGGCCCCGTTGTCTGCGGCTCAGTCAGCTGGTGGTTCAGTGGCTGGAAGAGGTTGTGGCTCCTTTCTATTAAGACATCTCTTGTTCGACTGCCGTGTGCTTGTTGGTTGTGATAATTACTGCATGACATTCACATTTAGTCATGATGACTGTGCTCATTAAATTCAGGATTATGTGAAGGGCTAACGCTTGAGCAAGAGGGTGTTTTTCCGCCCGTTTCCTTCCATCCCAGATGAGGAGAAGCCTCTTCTTACAAGGAAGAAAAAGAAGACTTCTCTGTCCCTCTGTCCTTGGCAGCCCATTCCTAAGTCCCTAAATTCCAGCTCCGGGACCTGACGGAAGGGGTTGGTGGGTCTCATTCGGATGCAGTAACGTCCCCGTAACAGTAAATGCGTTACGCACGTGTTTATTCAATGAATTAAACCATGAAACCTAAAAGAATGAGAGGTCGCGGGAGCCGAACACCCCCCCCCCTTAAATGCCATGTTTAAAGCATATGAAACCATTAGTAGAAGCGGAGCGGTGGTGAAATATTATAACTGCGGGATCGGCGAATTTCCCTCCGTGTAGATTGGAACTGACGTAATGTTGTTGTTTTTTCCTTCTCCAACTTCGCCGTCTGAACAAGAAACCGCACCGTTCAGGCAACGGTGTGATTCTCGCGGTACTTAAAACCCCCACACCTTCTGTCCCGAATCAAGTCAACACGCTTCATCTTGCAGCTGGGCTCTTTTAAGTTAGCAGATCACGTGTATCTCAAAGCGCAGCGATATAGATTACAGCAGATTTGGGATAGGATTGAGGGTGGGGTGGTGGGTAGGGGTTTTTATAAGAATCGCCACCCCCCACCCCAGTAAACTCGCGGAAAGGATTTGAGGGGCTTATTCAACCCAGCAATGAGTTATTCGGAGGGGAGCTGCAGCGATCTCAGAGGAAGCGGAAGGGAAACAAGATTTGAGCCACCTGGCCGCTACGTGCGCGGCCGAAAAGGGGGAAAACTCGCTCTCTTCTCTCCGGCGGGCCAGGGAGCGGCTCGTTGCGAGGACTCCGCCAATGGAAAGAGGCCGCCAACCTGACTGTAACAATCCAAGAAGTGGCGGAAAAACCTGCCACGAGGCCTTCCACGCTGACCGAGCCGAAGGCGGTCTTGGGGAACGAGAGCAGTCTCCGCCTGAGGAGATTCCTGAAGCGGGCCGCAGGGCTATTGGCACAAACTTTCTATACAGTGTTTATACCGCTTCCGGCAGAGAAATCCCGGCGCCTGAAGCATTTTATATTCTCTCTTCCTTTCACTCCGCTCCCCCCAAGCCCTCCCCCCCGACGACTTCCCCCTTTCCCCTTTTCCCGTTTTTGTTAAATTAGCGATCCTTAGGACTGCTTAGGAAGCGAAGCACTGAGGTTTTCCCCTCGCCTCCCCATGTTTATGCTACGTCTTGGGAAGAGCTGCTCTACCTCCTCTTCGGTTTAGCGCCGGTATTTGACAGTCTTGCCCTCCCTCCCCCCAAAGCCGTTAGCCAGCCGGCCAGCCTGCAGGAGAGGAGGGGAGGGGCACTTCTGGCTCCTCTCCCGCTTAGTCAGGGCCGGGAGGTGGGGGAGGGCACACCTCGTGGCGGAGGCGGCAGCAGCAGTTTGTGCCAAGCACCAGTTGAAGAACAAAGAAGGAAGAAGCGGCGAGAGGGCCACTCTCAAGTTACTTTCTGCACCAGCCAGCCCCGTCCATCCCGCACGCCAGACGCTGCCTTTGCAAAAGACTGCTTGGAGGCTGCCTTCTCCGCTCTTTTCTTTCCCCCACCCTTCTTTTTTTCCCCCCTTTTCCAAAGTTTCTTTCGACCCTTTTCTCCCCTCTTCGCAATAGAAGGAGGGGGGCATCTTCCACGAGAAGGCGGGAAGGCACCGAAATGAAAACTCAGAAAAGTAAGTAGGTTTGTCCTGCTCTGAGGCGTCTCTCTCTCTCTCGGCTTCGGCAGCGGCTCCAAGTGAAAAAGAAGGAGCCCTCGCTTGCCTACCTCGTGGCGTTGCTAAACAATTGCGTGCGTGTGGCTTGGGTGTACGCAACTCTAAGAGAGTAGGGGGCTGTAGAAGAGATTGGGACTTCTGCCCCTCCATTTCTTTGAAAAAGCCGGGCCTCTTTGTACAGCGTTAACGCGAAGTTGAGGAGGGGGTGGGCAGGTGAGGGGGCTTCCCCCTTCGGACAAAACATGAACTGCTGGCGCCCTGTCAAACACAAGTCTCCCAACGGCCTGGTTTGTGTCCGAACGAAGTTTTCTCTCCCGGACCCGCTCACGACTCTTTCTCGAAGCCTGCTTTTTTCGCCTTTTCTATTCCGTCCTTCTATTAAAAGCGCGAGCTTTATTGAGCAAGGCGGCATCTGAAAACAAATTCTTAGACTAGCAACAGCGTGTGCTTGAAGTAGTTTCTTTGTTTGCGCTTGTCGGATAGGGAGGGGGCAGAGGGGCAGGGGTGGAGCCTTTGCAAAAATCGGTTAAGAAAGCCTGGAGAGCGGATCTCCCATGCTTAAGACTCTGGACATGTAAAAAAAAAAAAAAAAAAAAAATGCCGCTTATATTTTAAGAGGACACAAAAGCAAGTTTATAGGCTATTTCCAGATGCAAGCCTGGGCTACCCAAGATAATTGAAAATCACTTTAAAGAAACCTGGACATGGTGAAATGTCTTGTAGGCATTACTGGTTTTGTGAATTTAGCAGCATAGTTTTGGTCATGTTTCTTTCGTAATTTGCCCCATTGAGTTAGAGTTTCTTACCTGTGTATACTACCTGTAGTTTATGTTACAATAGTAGCTGCATATACACTCTGGAAAAAAGAAGAGAAAAGTCAGTGGCTTAGAGTTAGGTATTTAAATGGAAAGACACAATGTAACTCCTGTTTTAACAATTTAGGCTTTGTGTGTGGTTGTGAAACTTATTTTTGCTTTTGAAATGCATCTAAAACTTTTCATGCAACTCTCTCGTGTAGTGACGTGTAACTACCAAATATAAAAGGAACGTGAGCTAACAAGTTAGTTAGAATCATTAAATGGTAACAGTATGTGCTCCAACAATACCATGGCATACCTCTGAAGTTAACAAATATAATTGCTTTTGAACTTTGTACAAAAATATTTGTAACATTACTGGGCAAAAAAAATCCAGACTGGATAATTTGTATAGTTATTTTTGTAACTGCTGCTGTGCTCTCTTTATTTTGAACAATGGGGATGAGCTGATTTCCTTCCTGCTGATCCATTGTTCCAAGATTTTGGGGAAGGGAATGGGTGGGATGTGAAATGCTCTGTTTTGTGCATGTGTGTTTAAATCTGGAGTTTCTGTCTTGTCAACTTTAAGCATGCTGCCTGTTCCATCTGGCCAGACAATGTTTAATAAAAACTTTTAACACATTAAGTGCATGAAAGAAAGTGGAAGGAGTTGAGGAGTGGAAGAATTGATCAAAAAGCATGAGGAAAAGTTTTTATGAAATATAAAAGAGATCAGAATAAAACATTTTGAAAAGTTGGATGGTTGATGGTGCTTGTGGTCTAGAAGTCTAAAATTTTATTTGTGCTGTAATCTAAAGATTTGTATAATTTTATATGAATGTATTTTTTCTATTGGTGATGTAAGTTTCTGTGGTCAGTAATATGCAAAAGGTTAAAAATATTAAAGGTGGGATAGATGAGTTAGTAGACTTCAAATTTCACTGACGGTTTCACTGACCAGTGAAAGTGGTCTTAAAAACATCTATTAACTGCACAGTATACTATACTTATGTATGCTTACACAAATTGTGATAAATCTGGCATTACCATTGTTTTGTGAAAGCATACACTGTGAGTTACATGTGACTAAGCTTTAGCATAATGATTATGTGTATCTCTGGGATTTATTTCCTCTTACTTCATGTCCAAAAATTTCTCCTTTGTCACTACAACTTGGGATCATACTTAATCTATTTTTTTTGCCTATGCTAAAAGTTTTCTATTTTAAAATATGGTGAGATTTCATTCTATAATGAAAAACATGTTGATTTTTGAAGAACTATATTCCTATTCAAATCTCTAAACTATCTTCTCTAACTTTTAAAGAGTTAGATACATGTCCTTTCTACAATAAAGATCACAGATAGGGTGTTATAACTTTCTGGCCAAAATGAACTTGGAAGGATTATATGCTTGTAATTATTAGAAAGTTAGTTCTAGGAAAGTTCTTATTTTTTTCAAGTAATATTTATTATCTTAGCAGTTAATAACTTTTGTGTCAGTCTCAAGTCTGCTATTTTTCTTTGTAATTTTGTTTTTCTTGCATTGAAAGTCAATACAACATGTGTACTTAAAGTTTTCAAATTAGGAATAATTTGAAGCTTATATTTTTAAATTCTGCAGGTGTTTTCTGGAAAATTACTGAGCTGCTCTGCAAAGCAGCTTGATAAGAGTTTCACACACAAAGAGATTTGTGGAGAAAGCAGTTTTGTACATTGCTTATGGTACAAAGTGAATTTATGTGATATAAGGCATTTTGAAAATTTATCAAAGCATCTGGTATCTACCACTTTCCCATCTAATATTTTTCCCCCACAGAATAGTTCCACTATTTCATAAGGTTAAATTTTTCAGTAGGTTTGTCATTTCCTTAATATGCAAAAATTAAGGAATTAATATTCTTACCATGCATAGTTTACAGATGTGGGCAGGGCTTAGGAAGTAATTTCATGTTAACTTTTTGGCCACAAAGGAGCAAACAGGTAAATAATTTACACATAAAAGGTATTTGTCCTTGTTTAAATGTATTTAGACAAGCTGTCATACTGTACATGTCTTTAAAGGAGTTTTTCAAATTGAGTCCTGCACTATGAGATGAAAATCAACTGTGCCCATAAACTTTGGACAAAGTGACCTTATAATGTACCTGCAAATTATAACTGTGGTTTTGGGTTTGTTTTGTTAGACAAATAGTATTGTTAAAACTATTGTCTTCAGAAGAATAAATGACTACTGAACATTAAAGTTATTTCAACAACACAGACAAAACTCTTGTGTGTGTGTGTGTGTGTGTGTGTGTATAGACACATACATATACATACATACATACATACATACATTAGTATGTTGTACAATGTTAAATTGGTGTTAGCTAAATATTTCTCAGCCCTCAGATGAATTTAAAATAAGCTATTTTTTTTTTAAATTGACGCTTTGGTTACATTATGACCAACTAAGTCATGTGAAAATTGTAATCTGTTATGTTCAAACACCAAATTAATATTTCTCCCTGCAAGAATTTTGTAAAGAAACTAATAACAAAACACTGAGACAGGCAGCCTAGTCAGACCACCTTTTAACTGTTCCTTGTTAAAACAGGAAATGCAGAGCACAGACTGATTACAGGCTAGCTTTGGTTTTCCCTTGTTAGTAATCAGCACAAACGCTCCAATGTAAACACTGCCATGGCAGCACCAATGTGGCCTTTGCTCTAATAAAAAAATCAGCTAGACTATTTTGCATCTAATGCTCCCTGTAGTTTCCTGTAACTGCAGCTTCTGCACAAATTCAGGGTCTCTTTCCTGGCAGTTCAAAGAGTTAAATGCTCCTTTATTGAAATCTCATTATCTCTCTCTCCCCCCCCCCCAAAGTTGCATAGCATTTTTCTCCTGTTTAGCCTAAACCTGTTTTGTATCATTAACCTCTTAGCAGAGGGAACATGTCACAATAAGTAAGCAGATCAAAGGCCACTCAGTACTGCAGGTTTGTTCTTGTTTTAATTTTTATTTATACTGTCAGGAGCTTTACCAGTTCTTCTTTTTTTATGTTTATAGGGTGAGGAGGAGATCAACTTTTATATTTTGTTTTGAAGGGACCAGAATAAATTTTCTAGCTTTTGAACACTTTTTATTTCAAGTTTCAAACGTGTTAGTTTCATTTCTTTACTTTTAAGGTAATCTTCTGTTCCAGGTAGCTGAAATAGTTTGGCTTGATTGCTTTTCTCAGCATTTTGGTGTCAATCTTCTGTAATATATTAGGGTCCGTTGACTTGCTTTTTATTATATCCCTGAATGAATTCCCATTTTTTATCTGTGTATGGAAAGAGCAATGACTAAAGGTCCATGAATCAGACTATTATATGGAAAGTAGGATCCCAAATGCATCCGGACAGGAGGGAACTACTACAACAATAAGCTGTCAATATTATAAACTATCTGGCAGCACAGTACGAAAGTGTTTTTAAAAGGAATATTCCATTCTGTTGACACATTACTATGGTTTCTATAAGGCAGTGGTTCTCAACCTTTCTAATGCTGCGACCCCATAATACAGTTCCCCATGTTGTGGTGACCCCCAACCACTTATACATCACCGGGTGCCAGGGGCGTGACCAAAGAAAAGGGGGAAAAAATGGCAGACAGCCTTGTTTGGCGACCCCCGTGAAATGGTCCCGACCCACAGGTTGAGAACCACTGCTATAAGGTATAAACTACGTTTTTATATTACTTTCTGGTATCAAAAGTTTTAGCAAATAGAAATATACTACCGATTATCAGACTGAAACCTAGGCTATTTATGGTTGGAAGAGCACTGATGAAAAAAAAATCTGGCCTTGTATAGTTCAAACATTAGTTGAATGCCCGCCCCCCCTTTTTTACGTTCCATTCATGGGAAGACCTCTGTCACAAAACCCTCTATTGAAAGAGACCATATGAATGTGCTAACGTACTATAAATTATATCAAACACAATGAAAAGAGACCCCAGATTTCATATATTACGGTCACATGATGCACTGGATCACAAACTGGCTAACCACAAGCCTGTTGGATGAACCCAGCTCTTGTGTCTAGGTATACTGGGTGATCTCAGAAATGTTGATTAGTTGATTAAACCAGGTTTAAATCAGCAATGGTTAAGAAAGTTTTGTAAACATCACCACACCCCTTTACTGAATATGCTAGATAAATATCTGGAAATGCAAATAAACCAATCAACGTCTACAGTAAATGTCTGGGGCCTTTCCCTTTGCTTTCCAACTTGTCACCAATCCCTTCTCAACTGATGGTTCATTTATGGTGCAGGACACTTTGTTAATCTCTGTATTCTCTTCAGGATAAATGGTCCAACAGTTAGCTTTATAATTGTATTTAGAGAACACTGACCTATTGTATTGTAATCACCTGGTTTACTGACACACTAGTGACACAGCATGACCAAAATTAGATCTTGAGCCCCGATACAATTGAACACCAGAAATCTCATTCTTAGCCCTGCACATGATCTGTTATGCTGACATTGGTAGATACAAATGCATTTCTTATTTACCTTGAAAAGTTTCTTTTTTATTGAACAGTATCTCTTAGAAGGTATAATAACAAATTGGGTTACCAGAGTTTGTGTTCATAAATAACTCTGGAAGTTGCTAGGAAAAAAGTATCCACCGATAAACAATGAGCGCAATTTTCCCATCAATGTGTTTTATGCTTAAGAAAGCCACAATTGTTATCCCTCACCATCAGACATTCTGAAAAGATACAGGACCCTTGCTAGAACAAGCAAAGGAAAGAAAGTGTGCAGAATGTGGCTTCCGGAACAATATCCAATCCTTTAATTGCAGCTCCAGTCTAGATCATGTGACTGGAATGGAGGATGGAAAGGATTTAGAACGGAGGTGACGATAACCTAATTTCTTGCCTAACTGCTTCTTCCATTAGGGATGCATTGGAATAAGTTTTCTGTATTTATTTTTTTTAATCCACAACTCTGAGCCTGATGTGGTCCATTTTGAAATATAATCTTTCTTTTGCCAGCTCTATAACAAATTTGATCAACTTTGCTTAGTTTTCAAATTTATACTGGGGGATAAATTACATATTTTTTTCCCAATCTTACTTTGGAACAAGAAAGAATAAAAGGTGGCAGCGCAAAAGAACAATCAAGCCCTTCTCACGTTGTTGAATTAAATAACTTTACAACCAGTGTCCACTAAATCACATTTAGTGTCTTTTAGTCATCTGATTGCCATTACAGTTCCTATGTGTTGTCCTGTGCCTGACCTGTTGCTCTCTCTCAGTATTGCAGAGTAGAAAGATTGGAGAGGAAACTTTACAAGAAAAAAAGAAGGTACACAGTGGGGGGTGTGTACCATTTGTTCAGTGTGCTCATGGTTGCCAAGGCCAGCATCTTGCTTTCTATGTGTATTCCCCATTGTGTGCCTGCTTACTCTCTTGTAATGCCTTCCTCTCCATTGTATGTAAATTACATTAAATTGAAACATTAATTTCCTTCTTGCTAATTATATCAGGGGTGAGCATTCCCAGAGCTTGAGAAGTGGTTAGGAAGCAAACAAAGTCAAAGTTTGTCTTGTCAGTTTCAAGCCAGCTATCCCAGCACCAGTGGGGTGAACATTTCAAAGGACTGGGGAGTGGGAGAATGGACAGCACATTTGTGGTCATATGAGTTTTCATTTAGTAACTGCCTCACTTAGCAATGGGGGTTGCTGGTCCCAATTATGGTTGCTAAATGAGGATTATCTGTAGTACCTATAGAAAGGCTAGACAAAAAACTTCATTCTAATGTAGACAAACCACCTTTCTTGAGGACTTCAGGGAGAAGATGAAGGAAATGTGGATATCATTCTGAGGCATAATTTATCATTTTCTCATGAATTTTTTCTCAGTATAGTGCTAAATGCTAATTTGAAAGTACAGTTGTAGAAGTAGATTGACATTTCTATTCATAAATGAGATTGTGATACTCCATGCAAAATGTTAACTGTTTTGCATGAAGTCTCATATATAGCTATTATTGGGCTTAATTTTAGTATGTCTTCTAATTACCAGGTTATTATTCTTAGATGACTTAATGTTAGAATATTTATATAAAGTCAGTGTAATGAAGAGCAGCAATTTAAAAAGGTCAGCTGTGAATGGGAAACAGCTGATGTTCCGGAAAAAATTGAGTGCGATTTTTTTCATTCTGTGGGTTTATTTTTATTATTCTCATAGACTGTGAGAGTGGTTTGTGTGCTGCCTCCGCCCCCCCCCCTCTATATATACACGCTAATTTTGGGGGGATTGCTAATATAATTAAATAAGCACAATTTAGTGCTGTAAGTGAATTAGCTCTGAAAAACTGTTCTAAGTTAGTAAAAAGTGGTAGAGTTGGTTTTGAAGAAAATTGGCCATATGCATATCCACATTGTTGGCCAATAATTGGTGTGGTTCTCCAAATAAAGCAAATCATTGTATGTATACAGACAGATACCCAAGTTGCCCAGATTTTCAGAATGAAAGATACTAGGACTTTCTGCCTAATCCTCATTGGTGCATATTACCACATTTTATTGCAAAGGATGGTGATAACGTGTTTGAGTAGAGAAATGCAGAATTAGAAGAGACAGCATCACACCTGCCTTTTCATGTGCATCATAGGTGCTGCTGCAATATCAGGCAGTGAGACGGAAGATGATGATAGCATGGATGTGCCCCTGGATCTCTCTTCTTCTGCCTGCTCAATCAAGAGAAGGAGACGGGGTAACTTGCCCAAAGAATCGGTGCAGATTCTTCGGGACTGGCTGTATGAGCACCGTTACAACGCTTATCCTTCTGAACAAGAGAAAGCACTATTGTCAAGACGGACGCATCTTTCCACACTGCAGGTATGTAAGCATGTCCTAGTGAAGCTTAAGGCAGTAACGGCAAGTTCGTTTAACCTGATGAATACTATGTATTTTGCTTTTAAGAAAATTAATATTCAGTGTTCTATTGACTACTAGCTTCCACTTTCCTTAAAAAATGTCTTGATATTTGATTGACAAAGGTGCTATTTCAGCCTGGGTTTTGCTGTAGACCCACAAAGTTCATAGCTTAAGTGGCATGGATGCTTCCTTACCCAGGAATAACCTTTTGGTCAGTGCCTAAAATAAGTATGAAGAATGTTCAGTGCCCATCTGTGCCTTTTATTAGGACAATTTAAGCTTCAAGCTTGATGAGAAATCTTGATTTACATGAGGCAAGCACATGCAGTAATAGTGATGGAAAGAATGTGAATTTCGGTTTTTCCAAATCTTCTGGATGTAGTACCTTTGAAACTCAGTGCCCTTTCTTACTGAAATACTTCTTTCTGCATAATTAGAAATCAGTTCATGTCTAATTGTCAGCACCCTGATTTATCTAAGAATGCAAATTATTGGTTTTTGTTCCAAATTCTGAAAAAAGTGTACAATTCTGAGTATGTAAATTAAGTGTTGATTTGCTTGCTCCTTCAACCAGTAAAAAAGATGAATGTGTAATAATTCTCTATCTAAGTTTTACTTGCTTTGTAAATATATATGTAGTTGCACTTTCTAATATTTGAAATAAGGTTTGCAGCAATATTTGAAATAATCTAAGTGTATTAATTTAAAGATATGAAGCTTTTTCAAGACCAGAAAGCTTATTATTAATTTTAAATCATACAGGGGAGGAGGGTATGGAAACATAAAAGAAAAATTTCAAATACTCCTTTTGTTTGTGGGATTTTAAACATAATGTTCTTCAATCCATTAACTCCCTGATTTATTTTTTAAATAATACATTGTGTGTGCAGAATTTGTAACAGGTGATGAGTCTATTTGTATTTTTGGAGTGTGTCACTTCAGTCTATTTCATGGGCTTTGTTGTAAATGTTGTTTTGACAGGTTGGCTCAGACTAATTGGTATTATTTCTTTGTAGGTATCCCACACAGTTTCTTTGTAAGGAGAAACAGTTCTTGTACAGTAAACAAAAAAGGACTGTTGGACTTTCTTTTATTGCCCAGGAAACTGGCTTGATACTCAAACAAGGGTAAACTTGGTGAGGTAATCCCTCTTTTGCCTGTTGACATAGTCAGTTGAACAAGGCAAATCAGTAACTCCTTTAGGGAGGAGTTACTGTTTCAGAGGAAAATATTTTCCTGTTGTTAATTAACCTAACTGTAATGAATTGGATTACTCTTTGTTCATTACTCAAAGATTACTCTTTGTTCATTACATATATTCAGACTTAAAACCAAACTTAAGGCTTTACCCAATGCAATATTTGGGTTTTCTGCTGAGAGGAAGGGCTGGCCAAACCAAGAAAGACTCTTTAGGATGTGTCAAAACTTGTTTGCCAGCCTTTTTTTTTGATCACATTTAGGAATCTAGCTTTAAGGGATTTAGGCATTTAGCTGAACTGCTTCATGCAAGACATAATTGGAATTGAATGAAGGTAAGAATGAAAGTGTCATTGTATTCTCAGGTCTGCAACTGGTTCATCAATGCACGGCGCAGACTTTTGCCTGACATGTTGAGGAAGGATGGGAAGGACCCAAATCAATTTACTATCTCACGAAGAGGGACCAAGGTAATTGATGGCCACCTAGCAGAATTTTCCAGCTCAAAAAACTGCATTCCCCTGATGGAGAGCTCCTTTTTCTCTGCTAGCCCAGGATCAAACAAGACTTGTAATGCTCCTTCTCCAGGATCTCTTCTGGCTCGTCCCTCGGTAATTTGTCATACCACCGTAACTGCACTGAAAGATGTCCCTTTCCATTTCAATCATCTCACTGGTACAGGTCAGACCACAGATGATCTTCAGTGGGCTTCACCTACCAGCTTTACAGACAACTCTCTCCTATTGCACGAGGATAAGTTGGGACCTAGTTCAAATGCACAAAGTGGGCTTTTCAACACTCCTCCTCCAACTCCCCCAGATCTCAATCAGGACTTCAGTGGATTTCAGCTCCTGGTGGATGTTGCACTGAAACGGGCAGCAGAGATGGAATTGCAGGCAAAACTCATGGCATAAATTGTTCTTCATATTTTCTCTCCCCCAACAGGGATGTAATAGAAAGATGTGACAATTGTTTCAATGATATCAAGGATTTAACTGCATTATTTGTTCTAATTAATCTTATTTGCACAAGGGATTGCTGAAATGAAGCTTCCTATCCCTGTAATGGTCTTCAGTGGATTCCAGTCATTCCAAGGTTATAAACTTAAAGCTACTGTAGAAGCAAATTCCTACTTTTAAAGTTTCTTAGTAGATTTTTTTTTCATAATGTGAGATGGTTCCCAAGATCATGTGATTTTGTTTTGTTTTCATTATTTGTCTCTTTCAGACTGTGCAATATTTAGTAACAAGATTAGTATTCATATCATTCCCATGTGGAACAAAATATACCAACAGGCTGTCTTAAAAAAATTCAGATTTTAAAACAAGTTTGGATTTGAATGATTATACTTTTTCATAATGTAATAAAATATTTTCTTTAATAGTTGATTTACACTGAGTATTTTGTTTAACTAGTGTTTCAAAAGATAGCAAATTTGCATTGTAACATGGAGACATTCAGTTCTTTTAACACTATATTTTTTTAAAAAAATTGTACTCCTGATTATAAGTTGCTGGCAATGAAACATGCTGTTAGATTTATATGAGCTTAATGTATTTCCTTTAGTACAGTTTATGGCATATTCTTGCTTGTAGACAGTTCTGCTTAAACAAGTAAGCATTTAAATGCAAGTTCCTTGTTTATTCAAAAATAAGTGATTCCATTGTCTTATTGATTAATCACTGGTTATTTCAGTATGGTTTGTTAAGATTCTGTTTTCCAAAATGCCTTATAGGAAATCCATATTTATCTGAAAACTGAATTTAAGATGACCCTGCCCCAAAGGATTATTAAACACATACTTTTTTTTTCATTCTCTAAGGATATTAGCCATTCTCAAGTGGGACCCGGATTTTTGCCTCCAAATACACACAGATGGTCACATGTTAAATCTGGTTTTTATTTCAGAGTGCAGCAATGTGATCTGAAAATGGACAACTGCCCTTTGCTGTGGTCAGGTCACTTTCTGGTTTTCATACATCTCACCATCATGTTTAATCTCTGCAGAAATGTTGAAATAATCCACTCAAGGTCTATTTGGGCTTTGGGGATTGTTTGAGGATTTCCCCAGTCTGCTTTCTTGCATGTCTCACTAATCTTGGGAACATGAAAATGGTGAGGAAGTTGAATGGAATTTTTCCAAATTTCTGTCCTCCATTGCAGGACCTAGCAAGTTCCTTGATTCTTTCTGTAGAGCAGACATGTCAAACACAAGGCCCACAAAGTGGTTTCTTGTGGCCCGCAAAGCCATCCTAGAAACAGGGAATGGCCCCCACTGCCTTGGCCCTGGCCCAGGCCGGTCGGCTGGCCAGGAGCCAATGTACAATTTTGTGATGGCCATCTATGCTGAAACGCATTCAGTCTCCCTCTGACTTTGCCCTGGTACCCATCATGAACAACCTGGCTAAGGAGAGCAAGTACAGCAGCAGCAGCCTTGATGAGGAGGTAAGTGCAGCTGGGCGCCCCCTTGGGGAAGTGGGGCTGGGCTTGATGCCATGGGTGCTCGAGAGCCAGGCTGGGCATTTGACCTCTGCTGCTCAGGGCTCCGGGCAGCCCGCACCACCATCCAGCCCCCCCCCACATGGCCTGAGAGGAACAGTGAGGCTCCTCCAGTGGACCATGCCTTGGCACTTGTCCTGGTCCCATCCCCTTCTGCCAGAGACCCTCAGATCTGTCCCACTGCTGCCCACCATGTAGGCCACACTTACTCCCTCCACGCCTACCCAGTAGGCTGCACCTATCCTGGCCACACTCACCTGGCCCCCCAAGGGCAACTGCAATGCTGATGCGGCCCTCAATGAAATTGAGTTTGACACCCCTGCTGTAGAGGAACTGCAGAAGATGAAACAAATGCAGAGATGATGGAAAGTAATGGTGGAAAAAAATATGCACCTAACCAATCACAGTTTTATCTCTGTTTGGGAGTATACCATAACAAATAGGACAGCAATTTCTCTGCCCTTACCATATCTGCAGACTTGCATCTGTTTAAGGATATCCATTCCCATTTGGGAAAAAATAGTGAAGATACTGTTGGTGTCATGAAGTTACATTTACAACTTTGTTTATAGATAAAATATTGCACATTTGCTCCAAGCTTGGTTCCATTTCAATAGAGTATGTCAAGAAGTCCAAGGCAATGTCTTGCAAGAAGATCTGACTTGGATTGACCAAGATCAGTCAATGTGTATTGGGGCCCTTTTTGACATGAATTTTCTCACATTGATCCATGTTTGTGGTTCGATTCAGGAGGTGATCACTGCTTTGTTAAGGGAGTGGGAAGTTCTAGTCATCTTAAGGAAAGTAATGGTACGCCTTCTTCTAAAGCCAGTTTTCAATCCAGCCACTTAGGACAACTATTAACTAATTTCTCATCTTGCCTTTTGGAAAAGGCAATTAGAATCTAAACAGAATTCTAAAGAAACAAATTTTCTCGACTTCTTGAAGTTGAAATTCAGGCCTGGGCATGGGATGAAAATTGTATTAGTTGTCCTTGTGTATTATCTTTGTTTGACCAGAGTGCAATATGTCCCTCCTAATACTTTAGACTTGTTGGTGGCTTTTGATACCACCAACCATGGCATTATTCTGGATGTATGCTAAGATTTGAACTTGGAGATACAGTTCTGCAATGATTCTGTTCCTATCTAAGTGAGCAGTTCCAGTTGGTGTATGGGAAGAAATAGTCATCTTGCCACAAAGACTTATCCTTTTCTTTATGCTATTTAATAACCCCCTGAAGCTGCTGGAGGAAATGATTAGTTTGGGATGCAGTAGCATCTGTATATTGAAAATCAGTTAAACATCATTATTCCAAGTATTGCTGTCTGTGTTCCAATCTAGAGCTTGGATTCTTAAACATCTAGATGGGTCAAATCAAGCTTAAATTACATATCTTCAAGATTGGTACTATTTGTTGATGTTTCATTGGCCTGAACCCAATTCCAATTTTGATTCTTAATAGGGTCATGCCCCTCTATTGGAGTAAATCCATGTTTTCTGGATTCATGACACTTCCTGGAACATTAGATATAGGCTGTGGCCAGGAAGGTCTTTGCGTTAATTTCAGATCTTTTTGAACTGGGATTCTCTGGCAAAAGTTAATCATGTCTTTGGCACACTCCACTGTAAGATAATTTATGAAGATCTTGGGGCTGCTGTTAAGATGGCTTGAAAATTTCAGCTGATCTAATAACCAGAAGCCCATGAGTTAAACAAGTGGTGTTACTATGATGTTGGCTATGTTTTCTTGTGGATTAAAAGCAAAGTGCTGGTTATAACCTAATGCTGTGGCAGCCCATGATAAAGGTACTCACTCTACAGGAGATGAGGAAAAAGAGCATTCAGCAACAACACTTCTCAGAGAAAGCTTTGCCCCTTGTGTACTTTATTTGCAGAGGTGAGGAATGCATCCTATTAAGAAAGCTTTGAAAACTTTCCTATTATACAAAGCATATGGGCATTGATGGTCTTAGATTACCTAGATTCGTTACTTTTTATTGGCTGTTGTTATTTTAAACTGTTACATCATTTGAATGAAGACATTGTGTGTGGGGGGCATCTCTTTCTTTCTTTCCTCCTCGCCTATGGATGAATATGGTGGGAATGAGACTTTTGTACATGTTCTCATATATAGACACTAACACCATATCTGCATTTATATTCCTGATTTAGGAGCTTAAATATAGGATTCTAATATCTTTGTAGCAATCAGATGTTAAAGCATGTAGATAACTCTCCCTAGCCAGCTGAATATGCATACAAACACATGGGTAGATGTTCAGTGATACATGAATATCACCAGTCTTCATTTACAATATTTACAAATGCTGTTTCTTCCCCTCAAAATTAATAATTTGTGATCTAATTAAAAATAACAATTTCAAGTTATCACCCACAAATACCGGTATGTTGAATTAAATTCTGAATAATTTATACAGAATTATATAATTCCTTTAAAGAGAATTTCCCACTCAAATGGAATTTGAAAGCAATATTACAATGTAGGCTAGGGTCATCTCATTGAATACATGCACTTTAAATTTAAGTACCCCTTTAAGTGGCAGCAATTTGGATATAGCTGGAAGGAAGAGGACAATACTAAATTTCCCCTAATGTTCTCCCACTTGAAATATTGTCCACTAAAATATTCCTCTACAGGTATTTCAAATACATTTTTTTCTGACAGAAATGCCTTTATTCTAAACATAGTTGTAGTGAAAAGCACAAGTTTCTAAGTTTCACCAAAATTTTCCATAGTACCAAGAATACCTAAAATATTAAGTTTCTGATGTATAAGCTATGTTTGTGGTTTTGTTCCAGTACCCTGTGAAATCAACTGTTTGCTTATCTTGTATCTGAGCCCAAAATGACATGCCAGGCAGCCTATATCAAAATCTGATATAATTAACTGAAATTGTTTTAAATCTGAGCTGAATTTGCTGTTAATATGACTATAGCAATGAATTTTTCAGATTTATCAGCTGTTGTAGGTTTTTTTTTTTTTTTTTTTTTACTTTCTTAGCTAATGTCCTTGAGTATTTTAAATTGTTTCAACTGTTATCTGTCTTGGTTTCAACACTTTCCCTAAAAATACCTATTTTCTATTGAAAACATTATGAAGTTTGTTTAGTTGACACACAAGATGTTTTTGGTTAGATTAAATTACTTTCAGTGTAGCATGAAACCATGATTCTAAGTGAAGAAAAACAGAATTAATAAAACTTTGTTCTAGTGAGAAACAGCCAAAGCACTTAGGGGCCACTAAGATGCTTTTGGCTTAACACTACTGCAGTGAGAAAAAAAAGGAAAGATATTGTGGAGAAGAAAAAGATCCATAATAAAAACTCATTTATTTTGTTGCTAAACCAGGAATGGATCATGTTTTGGTGGGAAAGGGCTGAATTAAGAAGAGTTTTAAAGGTATGAGGGTCATAAAATGAAAGGTTTCTATCAATGTGGACAGGACTTTAGAGTGATGTTTCTAGGTTTTCTTTTAAATGACGGAATTCCTATTTTAGGGTTTAAGCTACAATGTTAGTGTACTTCCCATTTCAAAATGGTAAGAAATTACTATGATTATTAGTTTAAGCAGAGTCAGACAAGAGGATCCAAGACCTAGGGCAGTGGTGGCGAACCTATGACACAGGTGCCAGAGGTGGCACTTGGAGCCCTCTCTGTGGGCACACGTGCTGTTGCCCCAGCCTTGCCTCCCCCTGCAACCCCCTCTCCAGCAGCCCCCCTGAAGGAGAGTCATCCCTGAGGGTGGCCCATGCAGAGCAGCGCAGCCAAGGACATGGCAGCCACGCAGCATAGACAAGACTGCCCTCACACTCCATTGTGCACAGTTGATGCTGCAGGGCGCAGGCAGAGGGCGTGACCGCCATAG